TTAAAAATAAGTTCTTCTTACAGCGCCATATTCTATATAGAGCGTCGGCTACCTCTCCCATGTACTTGTGATGTGTGTCATCAGTGCTTCACAAGTACACGGGACCTACAGTTTATTGTCTAATCCGAACGGCACTTTTTGAGAGGCTGTACAAGGCAAATATACTCTAGGTGGTTTGCTATAGCCTTCCTTGAGGTGGCGATGGCGGCTCGTTGGTCGCTGCATTTAGATAAATAAATATTTTTATTTAAATAAATAAAGCAACTGTACTGGCTGGTTTGGTTTGGAACCCAGTACCTTCCGCTCCGCAGATCGACACACTACCGCTGGAGCTACGACCGGCCAGAAATAAGTTGACGTTGCCGAATCCAAAACTTGTCCAGAACTTTATTTACTCTTTGGTTAACAATAAACTTTTTATTGTCAAGTTGACATAAAGTTAGGTTTATAGATAAAAGACTTATAATATTAAATAGATAGGCAACTTATAATACATTTCAATTTTATTATACAAGGGCGCCTCTGGTAGTCGGAGGAAGAAATACTAATGGAAGAAAGGGGTGCGGGGAAGAGGGGTTGTTTTAATTAATTTAAAATAAATTTAGACATACATGTAAGAACACTTTGTGTGCTTTTAATTACGTCGGACATGTTATAATAACGATAAATCAACTTAATTGAAAGCATACAAAGTGTTCTTATATGTCCGATATTAATTAAAAAAAATATTAAAAAGACGTAGTAGTATATATTAAGTTGTTACAGTTATAATTTAATCTTTGGCGGTTTTCAGCAAATAGCAGGCAGTTTTACATAATTTTCCTCCCTTTAAAGTGAATTGGAAACGGCTATATAATTTTGGTGTAGGCAAGATTCTCAGTTAGTTTCCGTTTCAGACCTGAAATAATAAAAACAAATTAAATTAGATTTAATCATCTGCTGATCATGCTAATATAACGCAACGCGCGTCCTTAATTCCTTACATGCACCGTAAAAAAAAAATAAATAACTCCTTAGCCAGTAGCATTTATTAGCAGTGCTAATTTAAAAAATCTGTAACTGTAAGTAGATATATTTAATTTACTTACCATTTTATCCTTCGGAAACCCGGTGTACAACAATTAAACTCCATGATCAAAAATAACTAAGAGTCTATACAAAAAACAAATTGTCCTACCATTTTAAAAAAAAACATTGTTTAAAACAGAATACAGCCAAAAAATCGGAATTTAATATTACAATAATTCGACAAATCAAAACGAAATCAAACCGTAAAATCACAACAAAAGCGTCTCTGAGTGTCTCGTGTTAGTTAAAAATCAATTTTTATTATTGTCAGATTTTGACATTTGCATTGTTGATTGACAGTTTTAATATTTTGCGCCTCTGCATCTTGGAGGAAAACTATTTTTAATGAACTGTCATTTCCATTTAAGTTTCCCAGCAATGTTAGGTTATTAGGTGGTTGTGATAAATAAAAACATTCAAATTATTTAAATGCGTTAAAAAAAGTCATATATGCAAATTGTAATAATCAGAATTATACCTTTATTAAATTTTTGTTGATAACTGATGTATAACAATCTGTAACGTCCAAGCTGTTTCCTGAAATATAAGTTTTAATCTATTTATTATTATATACATATTACAAACCTGAAAATTACTTGTGCGAGGAAACTTCTTCTCAAAATAATTATAGACCTTTTTACAAACATAAGGGCTGATTTATTACCATGAATTTGTGGATGAGTCAATGTTAACTAAACATTTTTAAACGTTTTACATATTTTGAATATCTTCCAGGCTATTCCACAGTTCTTGACCGATGAATAATGACCATATTTATACCGGGTGCGTCTCCAAACTGGCTCACCCCTAACTTTTGTATCTTATTAGATATAAAAAACGAGATTTGGTATGTTAGTATATGACATAAATTAGGATTGATTGGTATACTCAATTCTTTTCGACCACTTCTTGTTTCACCGGAAATTACTACAATTTTTGAGTTTTAAATGGCACCCTCGGTATTTTTTTACCTTATTCGATAGAAAATGACATTCTGAATAGAATGACATATCATATGTGAACTTCTGATATTTTTGCTTAAAACAAAATTGAATTTTAAATTTCAACCTAGAGTGACAGCTGTGGAGCCTTGGAAAAATAGATTTAATCGTCTATTGTTTTTCGTCTCTTGTCCTGGTCGGTTAAAAGATATCCAAATCGTATTTTTAATCATATCTCAATTTTGTCAAATGGAACAAGGGTGACTCATTACTCATTAGCATATTTCGAAAAAGCATTTTTTACGAATAATTTGATACCACACACTTGGTATTTCGAGTCAAATTGTTGTTATGAATCGGATGTTGCAATTTCAAATAAATCATATTCGAAAATGTCAAAAGTTGACACATGGTATGCCATTCTATTCAGAGTATCATTTTCTATCGAATAAAGCAACAAAACACCGAGAGACAAAACACCATTTAGATATCAAAAATTTCCGGTGAAACAGAAAGTGAGAGAAAACAATTGAATACGTCAATCAATCCTAATTTATGTCATATATAATAATATACCAAATCTCGATTTTTTATCTAAAAAAATAAAAAAGTTATAGGGGTGAGCCGCTTTTGAGACGCGCCCGGAATATTATCAAAATAACGCCGCTAAAGATAAGCGGAATGCTTCATTTAAATTAAAACTTTACTTCGAACAAAAATATACAAACAAATAAATAAAAAAACAAATAAAACAATACATACAAAAAAAAACTACTTTATGTACACCTGATCCATTCTTTATCACAACACTCACTGCTTCTAAATATTTTAACGTACTCGTTATATTTATGTACGAAAAATATAAAAACACATAAAACACAAGTACAAAATCAAAAATGAAATATAATACTAGTGTTGCAGGTTAATTTAAAGATCAAAATCAAATAAAAACTGTGTACAGAAACTCGAAAACAATCAAAATATTTAGAAAAGTCAATCAATGTCAGCGGCAAGTGTCAGAGTTCAACTAGATTTACCACAGATTATCAATTTGAACGATTTGAACTACAGCCGATTAGAGTCTATTTTCGTTTTTTAATAATATTAGTAATATAAGTAATATTGGGAAGTTTTCAATGATATGAAGTATATAAATGCTTTTAATTTAGTTATTTCTTTAAATGTGATTCTGTATTTAAACTAAAAGAATTTCGGACTTTCGTTGTCTTTATTGATTTTTGACTTACACAATATTTCGGTTAATTGTATCACCAAAGCAACCCGGGAAAAAAGTTTGTGCAGTCTAGCGTGGGCAGCTGTGCATTGAGAATGCACTGGTGCTTTTATGAGTAGTGACCATATCGTCGCCGTATCTGGCTTCTTAAAAATGATATTGTTGTTTAATATAAAAAACCCTTCTTTAAATTTACATTTTTACAGTGAAATTCCTTGTTGTAAGGTGCTTGGCTACACATAGTCTGCAATACCGGACTTCAATGTTTCAGATCTTTATAATATATATGTTTTGGTGTTTGTACTATAAATATACGTGGATGAATGCCTTTTTCTACTATATATATATATATATATATATCTAGCTCAGCACTTTTAGGATTTAGATTAGACTTGATAACGCAGTGTGTGTTAAAAAATATATAAAAAATATAGAAGTCCGAAATTCTTTTAATTTCAATAACTTTGATATGTATAATAAACTATTTCAATAAAATTTTCCTTACTGATTCTATATTTCCTTTTAACATTTGTTTATATTGAATTATTTTATATTAATTTACAAACATATTTATTTAAATAATATTGAACTTAAAGCTGCTAAAGTATCTTCTAAAATGCTAATGCCTGTTTAAAATACAGTTCAAATGGGTGTTTCAAACTAGAATATTGTATACATCTATTTAATCGATTAGCAAATTAGGTCAGGCTTAAAAAATACAATAACATTCACTTCATTTGCTAAGTGGATGTTATGTGTAACTACTAAATACCAAAACGAATTACTGAAATATTAAAAATAGACTAATTTAAACAGTTTTAAGTTTTAATTAAAAACTTAAAAAAATTCCGAAAGTTTTTTCAAAAAAATCCAAATTTTATTTTTTTTGCGAAAAAACCTCATAGTTGTGTTTTTGGGGTCGAAATATATTACTCCTAAAAATATTTGCACTTATTTAAGACTAACCCTGTATAAACCAACCCAACCCGACCTAACCAAACGATTTATTGAAATATTAAAAAATAGGCTTATTTAAACAGCCAATATAAAAAATAATGGGATTTTTGTAGATTTGTTTGAATTCTTTCAAATTGTCCAGAAAATACATTTAAGTAATTAAGACTATGAACACTTTTTGTAATACAGGGTGAGTCTTAAATAAGTTCAAATATTTTCAGGGCAGACACATATTTTTACTTTATCCTTTTTCAACTAAGTCCAAAATAACCGAGTTATTTTAATTTGATTTTGGATAAAATTTGCGATACAACTGGATCTTCTCTGGGTTTTCTTTTAATCTACTGGCAACATAGATAGTTGCCATTTTATCAAGAAATTATATTTTTTTACTAATAACTTAAAAAATTCCAAACGTTTTTTCATAATATTACAAAATTTGTTTCAAAAAATTCAAATTTTTTTTTTTCGCGAAAAAAAACCTCATAGATGTGTTTCTGGTGTCTAAATCCACCCCTAAAAATATTTGCACTTATTTAAGGCTAACCCTGTAGAACAAATAATATTTAGGACGCTAAATTTTTATATAGGAAAGTACCAAAAGATATCACATATACTTTATGCCCTTTAATACTGAAGCTAATCTTTCTAATGTTTGAAGAACGTTCCCTAAACACTAGGATCACTCTCATCTTTCTCCTTCAATTAAAACAATGTGTATTTTGTGTTTATTTCCCATATTAGAAAATAAACTAATCAAAATATGTTCAAATTTTATTGAAGCATTTCTTGTAGTGTACAATTAGAGGCATTTCAAAGTCAAAAAATTATTTGGTTGTCCAGAATTGTTCTAATAAAATAAAATATGTGGCAACATTTCCTAAAATAGAAAACATTACATGTCGGTGTATCGTGAAAAATCCAGCTGCAGTAAACTCAAATTTAGTCGACGATACTTTCTTCATAAAAGCTTGAAGTTCTGTATATGGTTTTGAATAAATGGATAAACAGTCTTCAATATAGTAAGCGGTTGTCATTAGTTTTTTTGCTTCGGTTCTTATTTTGTCACACATTACCAATATTACTAACGTTGAACCCTAAAAATACATTATATTACTTTTATATATTAATTTTTGTTAATCTATTTTAATGAAATATATAATCAATATTATCTTTCATCATTTTTGGCAATGTTGCGCTGTTTTCAGAATAAGCGTTTTACAGTGTTCTGCTCGAAAAAGTTAGAGAAAAGCAAGAATAGAAACAAAAAAGAACAGTTTTAATAAGGCACACAATAAAGGAATTTGAAGAATTTTTTATCAAGTTAACAATAGGTTGAAGGACTGCGAAGCTAGTGTAGTATCGAAGATGAAAATACGTTGAAGATTTTACAACTTTGAGAAACACCTCACTGTAGTATTGAGTAATAAAAAGGATTGGAAGAAAGAAACGCTTACTCAGCATATAAAAGACCATACGATAACGTGGTATACTGATGCTTCCAAAACCAAAGCAGGGACAGGGATAGGGGCATTTGGGCCGAAAACTAAATACTCCGAACCAATGGGCACCTACCCCAGTATCCTTCAATTTTTCTTAGATAGGAACTATCGAAAACACGAAATTGCCATCCTATCCGATAGTCAAGCAGCACTAAACGCAATTAACTGAGTAACCATCAATTCGAAGTTGGTCAAAGAATGCCTAGAGAAGCTCAACAAATTTGGCAAAGAAAATAAAGTCCTCCTACTCTGGGTGCCTGCTCACCAAGGGATAAAAGGCAATGAAATAGCAAATGATCTAGCTAGGAAAGGAGCGAACACCCCACTAACTGGACCAGAACCGTTCTGTTTTCCAAACGGGAACCAACTGAAAGCGGAACTGAAGAATCTGGAAGACTCCATCCGTAACTTGGAATGGGTATCCTCCAACGGTCTAATACACTCGAAAAAGTTCCTAGGAACTTACGACCGAGAAAAATCAAAGGTTTTCCTTGATTTAAGTAAAAACGATCTTCGGATTGTCACGGGGTTTCTAACAGGACACTGTCTCCTCAACGAACACCTCACTAGGCTGAAGCTGAGAAACAACGGCGAATGCAGATTCTGTGGGGAAGATGGGGACACACCAGAACACCTTATTACTGAGTGCGCCGAGGCGACGACCATTCGTGCCATGAACTTTGGTACGTCTAATGTCGAGGATGGAGAGCTGGCCTCTGTGGAGCCGTCTCACATACTGGCTTTTGTTAAAGCCTTGAGACTGTATGATGAGTTATAACTCAAGAAAGGGGAACACACAATAGATCTGTAAGGTGGCGGTGATTAACTCCCCTCCTAAACATTCTACATTCTACATCTCGAATTTTGACGAAATTTAGATAGATCCGCCAACGCACATAATGTTCTTCACGTTGTGACGTTAATGCGTATCTTAAAGAAAAAAATTAAGACTTAAAGACGTTTCTCTAGATACGCCTTACATACAAATGTTCAAATATTTCAGAGGCGAATCTCGGAGTTATATAGTTCGAGTTTATAGTTCGATTTGTTAGACAAATACCCAAAAAATCACGTACTACTACCATGGCAGAATACAGAAAGCAGAAAATAAAAATTTTTATTTTCCCTTGGGGGTTAGGCTTGGTTTGGTTTATGGTGAAAGTACGTCAGAAACAATTTTTAAACATGTTGGGCATAACCGAAAAAGTAATGCGTACAGCGATCGAAAAACTTCAAAATACTGGTGTTGTAGCAACAGATCGCCGAGGTGGACGTTGTACTGCAGCTGCTAAAATCGATGAAGCTAACAGAAAACTTATTAACAACCATATTAATCGTTTCCAAAAAGTTGAATCTCATTACTGTAGGAGTGACACTTCGCGAGAATACCTGCATAGTGATTTAACAGTAAAAAAAATGTATGCGATGTTTAAAGACGAACTGGGACCAAAAAATGCTAACACACCTTGTCTTACAACATATCGATCCGTGTTTAACTCAATGAATCTATCATTTTTGAGACCTAAAAAAGATATGTGCGGTTCATGCAAAACTTATTATTATATTGTCCGATATATTTAGAAAAATATAAGAATTTAATGGCGCTATGTGCTGGAAATACCCCAGTCATAAGTCTACCAGAGCACGTTCAGTTTTATAAAAATTTACCTCATACAACTGAATAATGTTTGTTTTAGTCTTTTGCGCCAAATATTTTGGTTTAGTTTAAGAACTTCATTATTTTTATGTTCTTTTGAAAGTGTTGTTGAAAATGCTGTTGTTGTGAAAGTGTGTTGTGGTGAAAATGCACTAAAAGGTATTAGTAACTATTAGTTTCTGTTTCTGCAGTTTTTGTATTATTGGTTCTTGTTTTGTAACCTAGTTAGAGATGATTTTTAAGGCTGTCAAAAGTTTTTTTGACAATTCTTTTGATGTTCACGAGCTGTATTTGTTAAAATAAATTAGCATTATGTCTTTAAGATACATATTATTTTGTCCAAACTCCACGACTTTTAACAAATTTTCTATACAATCAATGAGTAAGATGCGTATCTGGTAAATGATAGCAAAAGCAATTGTTAATCGCACAACGTAAAGGCGTATCTGAAATAATGTGTTAAAAAAAACCCTTTATAGTACATTTATCAATAATTTTTATCGTTTATCTTATTAATCTTGCTTTGAGTTAAATAACCTCCAAAAATGTGAATCTCCCAATTTCAGTCATTTATCTTAAAATAGCTTTCCTGAAAAATCGTTAAAAATGAGTTACGCCTTTTTTTACGTATTTTCAACGGCGCGTATGTTTTAATATTCTAAGACTAAAATATGAGAGATAAACTAAATAAGAGGATTTATACCATTTAATTGCTAATAATGGTAACATTTCAACGAAGATAGACAATATCAAATCTGATTTGGATGCATTTGCTAAGAAAGTAGATTATTATCTCTCAGAAGTAGATAAAAGAATTCAACAATTGAAAGCTGAAAATATCAATCTTACTAGGCCCCTACACTGTTGAAAAACATAAAGAAAAATACCTTTTAAATATTTTATTTATTAAAGAAATAACGGAAAAAGGCAATCAATAACTACAAACTATAATCATAACTATAGCTAATAAAAAGTTTAATGTCGATATAAAGGTCGTATCAAACTGCTATTGACTCGAAAATGCTAGCAATAAAAATAGTGCAATACAAGCAATTTTTATATTCTGTAAAAGAAGGAGTGGATTACATATATGGATTGTATAACAAGAAAAAACTCAGAGCTACTGGTATATTAATCACCGAAGATTTAGCATTAGAAGATCAGCAAAACAGAAAAACATTTGTAGAAATTAAAAAAAAAGGACAAAACAAAGAAGCATTCATTAAGGACAATACTCTTATAGCGGACGAAATTAGCTATACTTCAAAAGATTTTGAATTGGAAAAAATACAAACAAGAAATAGACATGTTTTAAAAGATTATTAGGAGGAAGAACAGATCTCGGATTGTAATCAAATTTGTAACATAGTAAAGAATTAGGTATCAAAAAGGCCGTAACACAATTATAACGAAAAACACACCAAAGCTTATTCGAAAATACTTATATCAAGATAGTAAAATAGAAAGTATAAGAAACTAATATTTCGGACAAAATTTGTCCAAATATACAGGGTGCTACAAATTCGAGGTACGAGCATTGGTATCTCGGAAACCGTAATAGATACGAAGATGGTTAAATTGGGGCAAAGTTGCTCCTTGGCATGTTCACCAAGATGCCATCAAAAAAATTTTAAAAATTTCAAGGATTCCGGAGTTTTTGGAAAAAACTGATTTTTTTGAGAATTAATTTCAAAAAACTAATTGCACATTCTCATAACTACTTTATTAGGGCTATCTGATGGTATTTTTAGATTTTCAAATTAGCTGATAATTTGTGAGATACAGAGGCCAACTTAATTTTTTTAAATACGGACCTGCATTTTTTATTTCAAGTTTTGAAATATTTCGGTCTCCTGAGTACAGTGATATGCCACACTTGATACTTTTTTTTTGTTTTGGATACCTTAACAATAAAAATATCTATTTAATTGTTATTTAAAATTATTTCAAGTCCGACTCTGGTTTTTTAATTTATTTAATCTGATTAAATTCAGCACAACAATATTGATCAGCGCTAATTAACATTGAATAAGGAAAATCACGTCAATTGAAAGATTCAAATAATTAATATCCAGGTCAACAATTTAAAGATATCTATCATTATTAACTTTTTTTATTGTGAATTTGAAATCCCAGTGTACGATCTAATAATACGCATAATATTAATCGTCGTTATTATAAATAAATCAACTTCTACAAACTAGTTTCTCATGCTCTGCATGTTCGGAAAAGGGTTACCGCACCCTCCATAATGCACAAATTTATTTTTCGTTCAATCTTATTTATAGCTCTTTGAACAGATCTTCTTATACTACCGAATGCATTTTGTACCCTTTAATTGTTTTTTATTACTCGTTAATTGTTTTTGTACTCTTAATGTTGAAATGTATTGATTTCAAATGTCCAAAACAATTTTTATTGATTTTCTTTATTCACTGTTAATTAGCGCTTCAATGTTAAATAAATTAAAAAAACCGAGTCGGATTTGAAATTATTTTAAATAACAATTAAATAATTTTTTTTATTGTTTTACCCAAAACAAAAAAAAAAGTATCAAGTGTAGCATATCATTGTTCTCAGGAAACCGAGGTCTTTCAAAACCTGAAATAAAAAATGCAGGTCCGTATTTAAAAAAATTAAGTTGGCTCCTGTATCTCACAAATTATAAGGTAATTTGAAAATCTAAAAATGCCATCAGATAGCCCTAATAAAGTGGATATGAGAATGAGCAATTAGTTTTTTGATTTTCTAAAAAATAACGACAGGAAAAAATAAAATTTATTTTCAAAAAAATCCGTTTTTTCCAAAAAACTCAGCAATCCTTGAAATTTCCAAAACTTTTTTGATGGCATCTTGGTGAACATCCTAAAGCGCAACTTTGCCCAATTTAACAATGTTCGTAGCTATTACAGTTACCGAGATACCAATACTCGTACCTCGAATTTGTAGCACCCTGTATACATATACATATATTTAATATACATAATATTAATTTACGAAGATAAGGCCGTTTAACAATATCCAAACATAGAAAAGATATATTTAGAATACCACTTTTTTATAACATAACATATTTATTGAGCACATTTTGCTTACTGGATCACCAAAAAAAGTGGCTAAACATTAAAGACCACGTTAAAGGGGCATTAGCTAAATACTCAGTAACAAGTTAAATATGTAATAGTAGAATGTAGAATGTTTAGGAGTGTTCTCCTTTCTTGAGTTGCAACGGGTTATAATTCATCACACAGTTTCAAAGCTTTGAGAAAACCAGTATCTGAGACGACTCCACAGAGGCCACCTCTCCATCTTCGACATCAGCCGTACCAAAATTTATGGCACGAATGGTTCTCGCCTCGGCGCACTCAGTGATAAGGTGTTCTGGTGTTTTCCGATTTTTCCCACAGAATCTGTATTCGCCGTTCTTTCTCAGCTTAAATCTACTGAGGTGTTCGTTAAGGAGACAATGTCCTGTTAGAAACCCCGTGACAATCCGAAGATTGTTCTTACTTAAATCAAGAAAAATCTTTAATTTTTCCCGGTCGTAAGTTCTGTAGTAGTAAGTAATAATAAGTATAGTAATTGATAATAATAGTAAAAATATTTTATAATGATTCGGTTTAATTATTATAACTACAGTAATTTAATGCGCCTAAGTATAATGATTTAATAGCAGCGATGTATTGATAGTCGGGCAGCGTATTTACTAATCCCAACCTTATTCGGTTCGCCGAATACTAAGTAATGCCTAGCTATTGCCTAGTTGCAAAAGCACGTGTGGCTCGCTTGGTAAAGCGGTCGCTTGCGGAGCAAGAGGTTCAAGGATTGATTCCGACAAATATAAACTATTTTTTAATTTTTTTTTCACAAATGTTGACGTGTAGTGAACGGATGGTCTAGGTAATAGCAATAAAAACGCTAAGGCAATCAAAAGTTTTGATTGCCTCAGTTAATATCTGGGGTAAGTTTTTGATTGCCCGCGAAATACGGCGCGGCGCACAGTGCTTCGAACATATGGCTCTAGAGGACAAAAATCCAAAACTTCTCTTTCATTGTAGGCAATTTATTCAAACTAGGTTTATTTGACACAAATGATGAGTACGCTCATTGTACTAAATGATGATGTTCTTAGGCCCACGTTTATGAAAAAAAAATCTTATAAATAATAAAAATGTTGGAGCTGTGTTCCATCTAAGCAAATAATAATTTATAGTATGAAAACGGTGTAAGTATTAAATAAATCCTTGTGATAAAAAAGAATTGAAATAACATTAGAACATGATTCCTACAATATAAGCCTAATATAAGATAAAAATATTTTTCTTTAATGAAAAAGAAACATTAATGTTATATTTAATTAAAAAAAACTTAAGATACTATAAATTTACTTTAGGACAACAAAATGCATAGATCGTAACTACTCTGATTCAGAAGAATCACTGCTGACAGAATCTTCCAAATTTATAGTATCCAAATCACAGGTAGATGAAGTATCCTCACATATAAGATATTTCTGTACATCATCTTCTAATATGTTACTTCTTCGCGTTGTTACTGTTCTTTTTGTTGGTATGAGGGGTTCGAATGTTAATAGTTACCCCTTTAATAGACCATATCCATATATTATTTTTTCCTTTTCTTGGGTATGAGGTTTTATAATAAATTGAAAGATGGAAACTTTTTTTATGCAACGTTTCGCTCCAACATAGTGGACTTTTTCAGGCACAAGTGGTGTCTCATTTGATTGGAAGGTTCATCAATATCTAATAAAGGACACATTTTTTGAAATACAAATAATTTTGAGTTCTTGTCCTTATGATCAAGCCAAGTATTAACCAGATCGGCATTGCTTATCAATTTTACTCCATCTGAAAAGTATTATAAAATAAAGTTCGTCGCAAGCAGACGCAGGTAAACTATACAAAAATTAAAAGTGTATGAATATGACAACAAAAATATTCAATAAATACGATATGTTTTGATATGTTTTTTTATATGCCTTTTTGAAGTTTGAAAACGTAAAATTTTTATACCCATTTAAGAATCATCTTAAAAAATAAATAAAAACTAAACAATCACGAACTTGTTTAGAAATAAATTTAAAGTACATACCTTGTTTAACAATATCCATAGTGGCTTTCAATTAAGTACGTACCGTTTAACTCCATAATAATACAGAACTACTATGAATGTTATTATTTTCACTGATAAGATAATGGTCGCAAAATTTATTTTTAGTGAAAATATTTGCTAACAAAAAACGCTGTTTATGAAAAATAATATACAGGATGGTTGAACATTGCTATAAGTATAAAATTACATATCCAGATATTAGTAAATTTTAACTTATTTTTCGATTTTTGTCCATGGGACGAAGCACTGTGCGGCGTGTCGAATAAGGTTTGGATTCGTAAGTACGCAGTCGTTTATACGCAACAAAGTTATTACAATATTGCATAGAGCAGCAATGATATCACACAATTTTCTTCTGTTACCTATTTTGCTACCTTGCGTTTTATTTTTGTTTAAGTTATAAAGTGTAAAAAGTAAAGTATTTTTTCTGATTGAATAGTCGGTTAACCGATAATCAATAGCATTTTTATACAGGGCTGTACACCACATACGACACGGAGTATTGTAGCTAAACGATTAGATTTTTACAAATTGTAATTTTTGGGTTCGTTGAAGGTTTATTAGAGTTACAATTTAAAAATAATTTTACAATATACAGAGTGTCCCAAATGAGTAAAAAATATTATAGTTGTATTTTTTAAATGGAACACCCTGTATATTATTACATTTTTAGATTCTACGAGTGAAATAAGGGTAAATTTGATTAAGGTTTACCACACTTAAATCTTACCGTATTTGAAATATTTTCAATTTTGTGAAATTGCAGTAAAAAAATTAAGGCTTCATTTCTCCAAGCGTATCAAAGTTTTTAATACTACATATTTACTGAAGATTGTTTATTGATCAGATATTGTGTTGCAGTAATAAAAATTATACTTCCGTATACAGAGTGTCCAAAAATGTATATTAAATAATTACTAGCTTTAAACGGCAATACCTTGTTTAATTTAAATAGAACACCCTGTATATCTTACGTGATTCACATGCACAATTTAATTGTCTATCAAATTGTATTATACCATTTTTTACCTATCTCTTCTAGTTTTCGTAGAAAATGCATTTTCTTATAATTTAGATCTCATTTATCACTATAGCCATGGAATATTGACATTTTAGAATTTTTTAAAGCAACATATGCACAAAATGTACAGGTGGTAAAACTAGTAGCATTGCAAGCCCATTTATTTACAAAAAGAAAACTATTTAAATCTTTGTATAAAAGTATAATGAATTAACTTGGAGAAATGTATACCATCATTATTTCCAACCAAAAATTAGTTAATTACATACTGTTTAATCAATAAATTATTCTAAATAAATGTGGATTTGACTCAGAAATCAATATAATAATATGTTATAAAAATGAACGTCTCTGTTGTTATAAATAAGCATTTGTCAGAAAATTAAATAAAATTTATAAGGAGTTAAGAAATGGTTGATTCGCCGGATACATAACTAAGATGTTACTTTTTACCACACTGTCTAATACACATACAAAATTCAGTTTTTTAGTACTTGGAGCAATTATTATTAATCAACGTAAACAATCTACACAATCAAGCAGTCAATTAATGTAGTTTGAATACTAGGATCATATTAATTGGTCCTCTTTAACAAATTATATTTAAACAGTTTTTTTTTTATTTTTTTGTTTAATGAAATAAGCAAACTATATCGATATTATTAGTATCTGTACTCTTTGAAAATTTGTTACATCTTTAAAAATAATCTAAAATGTTAATATTCCATGGCTATAGTGATAAATGAGGTCTAAATTATAAGAAAATGTATTTTCTACAAAAACTTGAAGATGTAGGTAAAAAATAGTATAATACAATTTGATAGACAATTAAATTCTGCATCTGAATCACGTAATATATACAGGGTATTCTATTTAAATTAAACAAGTTATTGCCGTTTAAACCCAGTAATTATTTAATATAAATTTTTGGACACTCTGTATAAGGAAGTATAATTTTTATTATTGGAACACAATATCTGATCAATAAATAATCTTCAGAACATAATGTAGTATTAAAAACATTGATACCCTTGGAGAAATGAAGCCTTAAATATTTTACTGCAATTTCACAAAATTGAAAATATTTCAAAAATGGTAAGGTGTAAGTGTGATAAACCTTAATCAAATTTACCTTTATTTCAATCGTAGAATCTAAAAATAGAATAATACACAAGGTGTTCCATTTAAAAAAATACAACTATAATATTTTTTACATATTTGGGACACTCTGTATCTTGTAAAAATATTTTTAAACACACAACGAACCCAAAACTTACAATTTGTGAAAATCTAATCGTTCAGCATCGTATGTGGTGAACAACCCTGTATATCGTTATTTACCAAGAATATTTCTCTTATATTCCTAAGGATTTACAGTATCCCCTCATAGAATTAGATGTGTGTTATTGTTAATTAGATGACATAGTTTGATTAAACATTGTACTTATATTATTGTGGGTAAACAATAGACTTTTATTAATTATTTATTTTAAGAAACAAACAAGTTAGTTTAAGACAAATCAGATAAATAGATCTTAGTATTCTTATGATATTCGTATTTATTATTAATTTTACAACAAATTTTTAAACGGCAAATAAGGAAAGTCCATCACTGCTCATGAACTAAGGTGTCACACACATACATATTATAATTTTTCATTACAACTACTTTGTGTGTAGCTATTTAATCAAAATTTACTTACCATAATTATTGATATAAACATAACTGTTACATATGGATAGTCTACCGACTCTGAGTAATCTTTACTGGCGTGTTTAAGATACAAACAAATGTGTAAACACCAAGCAAACGATAATAGTGATTGTAGAAGAAACTGAGACCCAAAAAGATCATTTATTCCTTCAGTAACGTTTTTTAATTTCTTAAATATATTGTTTATCTCTTGTATGTTAATTGATAACTCGACATCTTCATACGTTTTACTGAACTTTATTTTCCACAACATGTAGTTTAAAACTTTAAATCTTTCGTGACAAATCACCAAGACTGTGACTGTGATAAAACAAAAACACACACTATAATAATAAAATAGTATTTCTTGAATGAAGTAGAGCCCAATTCCCCAGTAATATCTTGCAGATAATTTAAAATTTGGCGGTGCGTAATACCAAAGCCAAATCGCAACTAGAAATATGTTAAGGCATACAAAATATTTCAACATTTTCTTATATATTGCTTTTTCCATTTGAATATCGTTTTTGAGCTCCTGAAGTTTTTCAATATATGCTAATTCTTTGAGCAATTCTTCGTATGACTTTCTTCTGGTGTATGTGCACGTTATACGCATTACAGCATGTGACCACATCAAAGTATTGGGTAAAAAATCCATCACGTTATACACTAGGGACCGTTTGAAAACTACTAACCGACCAATTAAAGATAAACCATTTAATGTACTAAATATTATTGTTAAAACTATAATTTTAATCTTATACGAACGTACACATTTTAGTCTATTTCTTCTAAAATCGTATGGTGGAAAAATTCCCAAACACACAAAATATCTTGATAGTGGCTTCAGTAATAAAACATTTGTTCCGCTGTTGCTCGTATACATATACATTATTGAATGTTCACAATGTAACAATATATTGATCTGTTGTTATGTATTTCGATATGCGTGGCATTCATTTACATAATAAAGCTATTTAATAATACCGTAATAATATTTCATTAATTTGATTAAACGGTTTTTGTTATTATAATGTGAAAAGCAGAAAAACAGTGCAAAATAATATGTAATTAGTTTCTTTAAAATACCTAGGCATTTCGACACTGAAGCAAATACTACAAAGACGTGACAGCCGGCAAAAGATGAAACGTTTTTGACTTCGGCTCTCAGTGACCTCGTCCCTTTAAACCGCGACTTCTAGAAGACTTCCATTATTGCCATACTGATTTTAATTCCACAAAATTGTATGTATTGTATTTTAATTCCACAGAATATATGTATAATGAACATATATTCTTAATGAAATATGATGAATATTTTAAATCTTTAAAAATTATTTATATTCTTGAGAATATGTAATTGAATATTTCAAATACTTTTTGTGTATATTTTTGATGTAATGCCTGTATTTTAAGTTATTATGTAAAGTATGGCAACATAGAAAAAAATAGACAAGGTTGGACTAGGTCAGAAATTTTCTAACCTTATATTTTTGTTTACGCTTTTACAAGTTTGTAAATTTTAATATTTAGTTGAAATATTTAATATTGTAATTGTTACTTAAATAAGAACAAAAAGTTATTGTGTAATGTCATCGCGAACGTTTTAATAGTTAAATAGATACTTCCATAAAATATGAAAATGAAAACATCAGAAAATGTTACAGACATTGGCGAAGAGATATGAAGAGTTTTATTTATAAAGACTTTTCTCTAATATTGATTTCTATGAAAGGAACAATTGGTTAAAAGGCAACTGATAATTGAGATAAACATACAATCTAGAATATTTAAGAATAAATTTTACAGATATTAGGAAACTCTTATTGTGGTGAAATGGCAAGACAGTATTTTCCCAAGAATTATTGAAAAGCAAGATTATTTATTGTAAAAGGAATACATTTCAAAGTGACTGAATATTAAGCTAAGGAGATATATATTTAGGAATATTTACTACTAACAGTCAAGTGGAAAAACGAAACTGTTGTACGAATTGCTCATAAGTTGAAAATATTTGTCTAAAACAGGTAACTCAGTATAATATAGACCAAATATATATAAATATTTAAGCAAGTATTCTCTAGGCTTTTACGTATTTCACTCAACGTATAGATTTATATTTTATCGAAGGGTGGACTATGGATATTTTGTCGCTAAAGTGAACTATGGATCCTAATGGAAGAAGATAACCCAGTCATTCTGCATAACTTTATTGATATTTAACAAAAATTGTAAATTTTATAACAATACATAAATATTTAAGCATGTATTCTCTAGGCTTTTAAGTATTTCACTCAACGTATAGATTTATATTTTATCGAAGGGTGGGCTATGGATATTTTGTCGCTAAAGTGAACTATGGTTTCTAATGGAAGAAGATAACCCAGTCATTCTGCATAACTTTATTGATATTCAACATAAATTGTAAATTTTATAACATACATTTTTCACTTTATTAAACTGACTTTTATTTTGTCCTACATTTTGTACAATAAACTTGCCTTTACGTAAATTAGTTGTGCAAAAAGAGCTGTAATCTTGTCTATTCTCTTGAATTGTTATATTCCTTGTGAAAATAATGTCCACATGACATAGTTCATTCCACTTTTAAGACCTAAAAAATATAAACAACAAGTTATGGTTAGGTTAGCTTTTTATCTCTTGAGTTGTCCTCCCGGTTTCCTCTTACCGTCTACAAGCTCACCGCAAAGAAGAGATTTTGGTAGGCGTTTTTTTAGCATCCTGCATACGTGACCAGCCCATGTTAAGCGGGATATAGTAACCATGGTTTTAGCGCTCTTGCAGCTAGCTTTTTCAAGGACCGTTACGTTTGAGACATGGTGATACCCTTGTTTATATATTAATAGTTAGTCAATGTGCCTGAATAAGTCGATGCTGCCAACTGGTGGCAGAAATTAAAACGTAAAAAGGGGCGGAGACTATTGAATTTGGCAAAGAAGTAGGGACTAGGAATTCTTCGAATTTAATTCTCGGTAAAGAATAAAATATCTTATCTGATTCGAACCAAATTTATACCTCAAAGTGTTATTTACATTTTTTATTTTTGGACATGGATTTATATTTATTTTGATTTTCATGGCCACTTGTTGGATACTAAAGTATGATATTAGGTATATAAATATTTTATTTTTAGATGGATAATTAAAGAATATAATATGAAACTATACCTACCTACGTCTGTAACTTTGTAAAAAGTGTGGCGGATTTAACATAATGTTTTTTTTTAAATGTTACATCCTATTTTATTTTAGATTCTGCGTAAAATTCTATTACTTTTTTTACGTATATTTCTTGTATAATGGCGTAAACTAAAACTAGTTTTATAATATTTCAAATTTGTTGATGAAGAAAAAATATTAGATATTTATATGTAGATATTTGAGGTAGATGCTACAGGATGTTCAATATATATTTTTGAAACTCGACTACGTATTTAAAATAGAAAAATATCTGCAGATTCTTTCAATGACGCAGCCTATACTGAGTGTTTTTTCAAAAGCGGTTCACCTCTATAACTTTTTTCGGAGTTTACCAAATTCGGAATGTTAGTAGGTATATGACATAAATCGAGATTGATTCGTATTCCGTTAGTTTCGGTCACTTCCTGTTTCACCGGAAATGTATATGTACGAGTACAACATTTGATTTTTAAATGGTACCCTCGGTATTTTTTATACTTTATTTGATAGAAAATGACATTCTGAATAGAATGACATATATCATATGTCAACTTTTGACATTTTCAATTAAAAAAAATAGCATTTTAAAATTCAATCTAGTGTCATTGCTGTGTTAAAACCATTAATTTTTAATCAAGGAGCTTCGGAAAAATTGATTTGATCGTCTAATATTTTTTGTGCCTTTTCCTTTTTGGTACCTGGTAAATAGGTAATTTGGTACCACACACTTCGTATATCGAGTCAAACTGTCATTACCTTTACGACCGGTTACATGTTGTTTTTTATCATGGCACTCTAGATTGTAATTTAAAATACAATTTTTTAAGTAAATATGTCAAAAGTTGACAATAAATTATTCTATTCACAATGCCATATTCTGTCAAATAAAGTAAAAAAATACCGAGGGTACCATTTAAAAACCAAGTTGTAGTAATTTCCGGTGAAACAAGAAATAACCGAAACTAATTGAATACGTCAATCAAACCACTTTTGAAAAACACCCGGTATATTTTTTTCTGATAGATTTTACAAAATTCTTCAATTTCTATTAATAATGTCATATAACTATATAAATTACTTTAATGCTTAATAATAAATAATTTTTGTTTTGTCATGGCAAAACTTGTTATAGTGTAAATGAAGTAAAAGAAGGATAAAAATTGAAAAATTCAGAACAGATTGCAAGCTGTATAGAGTATAGATGTACTTAATATACTTTCTTAACAAATGTTGAAAGGTTTTGTGAAATCACTAGAAAAAATAATAATATATAGGATCAGCCAAAAAAAACTGTTTGAACACAGTGTAGCATCTAACTCCAAGTATTTTTACTTATATCTTTTTCTTCACCTCTGTAAAACACTCCTACCAAATTTGTGTAGCCCAACTTCGAAACAACTGACAATTATGTAACATAGGAATAATTTTTTTTGCAAATACTAACGTTATTTATAAAAAAAAGTTATAGAATTTTAGGCAGAATCGAAAATAAAATAAAAGTTATAAATAAGAGTTTTGCATTAAAAAAAACATGTTACATTATATCCGCCACATTTTTTGAAGCACCCATTATACTCAAAAATAATATTTGAACTGTGTCTCTTAAGATTCTCTATACCCTTTTTTTGAATTCCCAAAACAAACGAGATAATTAACTTTATTTATTTCCTGATATCTCATTTTATAATATTTCGGAAGAATCAATCAGGTATCTTATTTTTATAATTATTAGAAATAACTCGGATTTAAAGGATAAGGGATAAATGTAAGTGTATACCATACGATAAAAAAAACGGCGTCAGAGATGGCTTGGAAATGAATATCGATGTCATATATTTGTACGTAAACAAATAGACGCCGTTTTTTTCGCTCATACCGTATAAGAAAACAAATTTAATAAAACAAACGCATTTATTAATATATGTATATAGATTTACATGGTATGAAAAATTTGCATTATAATCTCTGAAGGTCCTACCATGGTCCCACCAATGGTTGGCTAATGTGGCGAGTACAACCACTTAGCAGTCACACCTATAATAATTTAATAAAATATGAATATAATAAACAAACTTATTTCTTTTAGATTTTTTAAAAGCGAGTTATATGTGTTAAGTGGTTTTTGATTATTTTAGACCAATTTTTTTAGACTTATGATTATTTTAGACCAAATTGTCTGCCCACTCAAACGTCTTTCAAAATTATAATGTAGGAAATTCTTAATATGTTTTAATTGGGAATACTTTTAGAAAGTTTCATTTTCACCAAACAAAACTACGTATGTATAATAAATTGCAGTATAATCAACTATAATGCATGATATATACTGGTGGCGTCAAAACTAGATGTTGGGTTTTTCTTGATCATTTCAAAGAGAACTCCACATTTTATGACATAAACGTAGTTTTTTTGCAACTTTGTTTTGAAAAATAATTTTTAAATCCAAATAATCCATATTTATACAGTAATGTCCTCTTTTGGAATACATAATTATTTTCAGCTGCAGCGATAAAATAAATAATATTTACTGATACGCCAAGTAAAAAAATA